TATATATATATATATTGGCAGAGACTGTCCTGATATGCTCAAAGAGGTCTTCTGCTTCAAACAGAAGCCCCCCATTATAACAATGATACACACCTGCCTCCTAAATTACACTAAATTTCTTGAACTAGGAATTATACCTACAGCTTGTAAATGCTGCTACTACAAGTCTCTGAGAACCGTTATATCTTAATGGAATCCTGAGAGACTCATGAACGTAAAGGAATACTGAAAGAGATACAGAGGTTGCCATGCTAGATGCAACAAGTCAGAAGTCCTGATTTGCATACTGGTTTTGAGCCAGTGACTAAAAAACAATAAAGCAAGAGGATTGGCATGACAGCAATATGTATTTTCCTCAGTACAGGTTTCCTTTTATAAACTGATTGGGGTGGCCATATACAGCCCAATTCTTCACTGATTTTACTGCCTAATGTGATGAGTGAGATTCTATCTGTGGCTGGCTTCTCTAGGGGTTATAATGTGTGCTCAACAACTCATTGGGAAATGTCACGGTGATAGCACTGAACCTTCAATAAAAAAAGAAATGTTTAACTTTGTGGCTCTGCTTTTCAGAGTAGTCACAAGGGATATTGCAGCAGATTCAAAGACAGGCAGGTGTGCCATTGCCTACCTTTCTAACTGAGAAATATTTGTCTAATCATGTGCAGCCTTCTCTCACAAGGGAATGTAAATGACATTGGGGACCTTTTTTTTGTTAGTATGCGTCTAAGGCAGCTATTTTTAATAGCTGAGCCACTTTTAATATACAGGGGAGTACCTCTTTGAGAATTTAATTTCCCCTTTAACATGCTCGGTAAAGCAGGTATATGCATATTTGATGCAATACAGTAGAAATATTTAGAGGATAAGGAAAAAAAATTCAGAAGGAGATAAACCATTTCTTAAGTATCGATATTTAGAAATAAAAGACCATAAACCCAACACCAGTGACATTTCCAAATGTATGTGTGGTTAAAGGATCACTTCCTTTCTGTATTGAAAAGGATATGATGCTTCAAAGACCAAATGCATTTCCAGCATGGTGGAAAATCTCTGCAATGATAACATGCCTGCAATCCTCATTTGGTCTCATTGCTGATGTCTTCTTAGTACTTATAGTAACCGAATTCTTGCAAGCAAAGCTCACATTAGCTGTTTTAGTTAGCTAGAATTAATTTAGCTAGAAAATCGGTTTGTGTACTGTATGTTAAGAGCTCATTTTTAAATGAGGCTGTGGGTCAGGCTAAGCATAACCATAAGATGGTTGCTGCATGAAAGGTGTGATTTTAAGTTGATCAAAGTCTCTAGTGCCTATGGAATGATTGTGCACATGAACCTTTATGCCTCCAATACATCATCTTCAAGTCTGGCAGGGTCTGTGAGCAGCCTAACACATCACTTTTGCTGTTTACAGTGTGCTATTAAATAAGCCAACCAATGACACAACCAGGGGTGTTTTTATAAAACGTTTGCAGTCTGTGAGATTTGCAGAGCTGTTTTTGGCTACTAGATGGAGCTGAGTAGCATGGGAATTTCCTGCGCTCCTTGGCTCCACCTAGTGGCCATAATGCTGTGCGACACTAAAACTAAGACATAAACAGAGCAAACAACTCTCCAATCATTTAAACAAAATCACCCCTTCATTATTTTATTTTTTTTAAACTGGACAGGATGAGGACTCACATGTTAAAGCATGCTGGGAACGTCCTGTTTCATACAACAGGCTGCATGGAATATGACTTCAAGAACTGAGCTTAATTCAGCAGGGTGAAATAAAGCCACATACACGAGCAGATAAGAGAATTATGAATTTTATATACAGAAATTAACTGAAACTGAAAAGCCATAACAATCAACTACAGAATGACTTGTATGGCAATTACATACCCATGATAGTTTTCTTTAGAAGCAAATGGGTGGTTATACTTTCAGCCCTCGTGTTTAAGACATTACTTAAGAAAGATTAGCTAGATGACACAAATTATCAGTAAGGTTACATTCTGTAATAAGGTCAAAGTAGAAGAATTAATATCGATCAGTTAATGCTAAAGATTTGTGTGTATGTGTATATTTGATTCTTTTTGGAATGTGAATGCATTTTGCTTGTGATTCTGCTTACGTTAATGCTATGCCCATAATATTCATAAATGTGACCTTTGTCTTGTTTGGTCTTTCCAGAGTGGCTTTACACCCTTGCACATAGCTGCGCATTACGGGAACAATAACGTGGCCACCCTACTACTAAGCCGGGGTGCAGCTGTGGATTTCACTGCCAGAGTAAGTCACCACTAAGTTTACTAAATGTTGATAATATACTGACTGTAAGACTGTTACCTGTAAATTAATAGATTCATGAGGGAATGAAATTCGGTATTGGATGAGAGAGGTCTTTTGGAGATGTTCAGTATATGCTTAAAACATGGATTTTGTACTCAATTCATTGCAATAAAAATTGGATTTTATGGATGTCGACTATGTGTGGCTGATCTTAAGGAAATAAGATCTGCATATCACTATTTCTCCTGGAGACAGAGAGCACCAGTGCATACCCCGTGACACAATCAATGGCTGATGACAGACATTTTCCTGCTTGTTGGAGAATCTCTGCTAGCATTTCAACATTTCCCAAACTTTCCCAGCACTTTCATTATGACCCCTGAGGTAGTGCATACTGCCTATGAAGTGCTTTATTATCACAAATTGATATATGTGGGTTTACTTGTCAAGAAAAGAACAGTAATCCAAAACAAAAATCAGAGTTGGGCTTTAGAACTGCATACTAGCACAAATCCAGATGTCTTTGGGTTGGTTGATGTGGGTTACTTTTTTTGCTTAATAAATCAAGGCTGGTGTAATGCCATCAACATAAGGGATAGTTCTGAATGTAATGCAATTGACACATTTAGGTTTCAGTTATGCACAGGTGAGCAGCAGACACTGAGGGCATATTTAACATTTAGTGGATGTGACTCTTACCATTCGCTGGTGGTTAATCAGTCACTGTCATTTAAAATACATACACCAGGATGATTCACTTACAGTGAATGTTTGATGAATGTCAGATTTACTGCTTATAAACATGTCCCATAGTAATAAAGCCTTTGGCTCCCCCTCACAAGGAGGGAGATTTGTTAAATGAGTTATGAGCAGCATATGCATCTATATATAACGTCCAGGTTTCCAGGAAAGAAACCCGTACCTGTACATGTTTTTATATAGTCTTTAATGCAACATCTTCCTGTGGATTTACAAAGAACTACATTGAATCAATACAGAATATTAAATTGCTGTTTAAATGGTCCCTATTATCACCATGACAGATAAATGAAGGGATGAAAAGGCCATGCTGTACATTTCGGCAGTGGTATTGATCACCAGACGAAGGCATGTCTGCTATAATGCTTTAGAAGCACTACTAGTGATTGACATGAAGAGTGAAGGTTTTACATTAAGGACTCTCTGCTGACTGATAAAATTGTCATTGTCTGTATAGCGGAAACATGTTATATCTGGAAACTGGGCTATTCACTTGTCAGATTGTTATTAAAATTCAGAGTGGGTCCCTTGAACTCTATATGTGTTCTGGATCAGCAAAAGTCTTGAAGCCATTGTTTCAGCATAAGAACCAGTCAACTTGAGTTTAATGAAGAAATCATTCTTGCCTGCCTACCTATTTCTCAGCTTGGGTTACTTTTAACAGCTATTAAACTGACCTTGGTTTGCTGGACCTGCATCACGTGGTAACAACCATTACAACAGTTATTCAAGATTTTGTTTCCCCACAGTTGAAAGCTGTTACAAAGGTCACATTCACTTGTAAATGGGTAGGCACATCCTTTGGTCATTGGGAACTTAATCCATAGTAATCCATGTACTGTAGAAGAGCTCTTAAAGCATACCACTCTAATGCTACCACTTTAAGAACAATAGCCATGAAGCACCTAAGGAAAAATATTGCCAAGTCCATTTGGTGAATTGCAGAAAAGTATGCAGCAATGTAAATATGGATGCTTAATTCATGCAAAAAGCACAATTTAGCTCCTTGATATGCTACCTTTTTATAAAATGTGACAGAGATTAACTTTTTTTTAAAAGGCTGCATAGGTTTATATATGATCTTTTAGACTAGTAAAGGGATATGAATGATGATACAATGAGGAAGGGAGGGAAGCCTTGCCAGGTTGTTACTACTGCCCAGAAAATTGTTCTTGAGATATAGCCTCACTTCCTTCCTTCCCCGTGACAACATCATAACGAGAAGTTCAAAAACGCCACCAGCACTCTAATAAACGTGAATAAAGATGGATTTAATGACATATATTTGTCATACAATGCAAACGCTTTCGGGGCCTCACGGGGTCCCCTTCATCAGGCTAATTTTTTGGACTTCAATAACATGAAGTCCAAAAACGCCACCAGCACTCCAATAAATGTGAATAAAGATTGATTTAATTACACATATTTGTCCTACAATGCAAGCATTTTCGGGGCCTCAAAGGGTCCCCTTCATCAGACTCAGAATGAGCCTGATGAAGGAGACCTTGTGAGTCCCCGAAACATGAAGTCCAATAACGTCACCAGCACTCCAATAAACGTGAATAAAGATTGATTTAATGACACATATTTGTCATACAATGCAAGCGCTTTCGGGGCCTCACAGGGTCCCCTTCATCAGACTCAGAATGAGCCTGATGAAGGGGACCCTGTGAGGCCCCGAAAGTGCTTGCATTGTATGACAAATATGTGTCATTAAATCAATCTTTATTCACGTTTATTGGAGTGCTGGTGGCGTTTTTGGACTTCATGTTATTATTAGAAAGGTTTTCATATTTATCCGCTAAGGAGTGCAGCAAGATACATCAATACAACCTCATAATGAAAGTGAGGATTAATCCACAACAGGAACACAGGCACCAATAATAAAATTTTTACTAGAGTAAGAGAAGGGTAGAAGCCTTGTAGCTTTATATTGTTGTCTGTGTCAGTGTTGTCGATTTTTGCTCACTTTCTATAAAGGGACAAAGTTATCGCCAAGGCTGAAAGTGAGGTGAAATCTCTCCTACAAGACCTCAGACATAAAATTAAAATTATTCAGGATATCGAGAATAAAGGACATGTGATTAAGCTTAACAGCTTAATTGCAAGCTCTTTCTTCTCAATCTCTTTATATCAAATTGTACATGATTCTATTTTAAAAATCCTTATTACGGTATCAAACTACAAAGAAAATACAGCTAGCAGTACTAAGTCACAGTCAGTTGGACTTGTTCTGCAATGCTGAAGATGTTTTGTAGCTTATCCAAGCCACTTTTCCAGTTCTAATGAACTAAGAACTGAGAATTAAAGAAGTGGCAAGGATAAGGTATGAAGTGTCTTTAACATTACAGAACATGTCCAGTTGAATGTGATCAACTACTAACTAGAATCTTGATCCAGGCGCTAATGGGATCCTCCAGCCATGACAGATACTTTCACTCTTAGGGGCTGCTTCTTACAGGGATCGGAGGCTCCCGTCACACATTCGAGCAAGAACATACAACACAGAGCACCAGCTCTAAGTAAAATACCATTTATTAATTGAGCATTAAAAACAAACCAATCTACTTACAAAGATGTGATGCACAACAATTAAAACATAGCTGGATATCTGCTGGAATAGTGCCTGTGTCTGTGACACGAGTGATCGTCTGCTGTTGTATGTCTATACCAGGGAGTGAGTTAGCCTCATGAGCGGCTCTGGCGGTATTCCAACAGATATCCAGCAATAAGCGTTGTCCATCACATCTTTGTGAGTAAATTATTGTTTTTTTAATTCACAATGAATAAATGTTATTTCACTTATAGTTGGCGCTCTGTGTTGTATGTTCGTGATCAACTTCTGGTTAAAACATGACCTGGATAAATAAGAACCTTCTCAGGCAAAACAAGATACTCTTTATTAAAGATACAGCCATGCAAAGTTCAGATATACTCCCAAACAAAAAAGTTTAAATCTTCAGCAGGGCTCTGACAAAAAAGAATACAAAATTCACATATTAATATATAGCAACCACGATGATAATAGAAGACATGCTACAATGGTAAGTATTCCAATGACTAATAACTGATTTACTAACAATACCACCCCACATAAGAGTAAGAGATGATGTTTGGACAATTTTGATCCATACATTTCCAGGCATTATGTTAGCCAGGAGGTGCACAGGAAAACGTTCCAGTTGGCACTTACACATAAAGTGCATGCATATAATCAAATTTGTTTCATAAAGCATATAATGTTTCTCCCAGAATCTAAACAAAAATGTTAAGAGAAAAAGAGTACCAGCCATGGAGTTCATAATGTTCATAATGCTGTCTGAAAATATATGATGCATAATCTTGATGTGATATGCTGATTGCAGACTGAGTATATCAAGTCAACTCTTGATCACGGCAATAAAGTTAATATTGCACAGAGCCGTAGCTAGCTTCTTTTGCGCCCGAGGCAAGAACAGAAAATTGTGCCCCTCAACAGACCTGTGCGGTATGTGACGTCATGCGCCCCGCCTCCAGGATGGAGCAGGGCATGTTTAGAATGCGCTAGTGGCCAAATCCAAAATAGCATAAAAATGTGTTTTCATTTTTAGTTTCCATTAATTTCGTCCAAAACAAATTTTTAGTCTTTGCACATCTCTAGTAATTTGTGTGTGTGTGTGTGTGTGTGTGGG